CTTGTACAGGTATTGCTACTAACTTCCAGGAATGTTTACGTTTCCACCTTGATTTCTTCTATGACCCATTGGTTATTTAAGAGTGTGTGATTAATTTTCTGAGTTCTTCTACCTTTTCTTCAATTTCTTCTGTCATTGATCTCAATTTTCATTCCACAGTGGTCTGATATAGTACATATCGGGTGATTTTGATTCTTTTATTTATTTGAGCAGGCTTTGGAGACGACCATGTGATCTTTTCTGGAGAAAGCATTGTGTGCTGCAGAAAAGAATGTCTCCTGTGCTTTGGTGGGGTGGAATACACTGTAAATATCTGTGAAGACCATATGTCCAAGGGTGCCATTCATCTCTGATATTTCTTTATGATTGTGTATTTATTTGATCTTTTATGTTCAGCACTATGTTTTATGAAGATAGGTGCTCCAATAATAAGTGCATGAATACTTATAAACATTATTGTTCTTGTTGGATTGTTCCCTTAACTAGTTTGTAGTGATCTTTGTCTCTTCTAATCATCTTTAACTTGAAGATCAGATTGTGTGAGATTAAAATTCTAGCACTGCTTGTTAGATGTCCTCTCCTGGCATCTTAGCATGAAATAGTTTTATATTCTTTAATTTTTTAGTCCATACATTTTTTTTGCATTAAATAAGTTTTTGAATGCCACATACTGCTAGATTGTTTGGGGGTTTTTTAAATTTATTTTTTATTCAGTCTGCCAATCTGTGTCTTTTTTTTTATACTGGGGATCAAACTCAGGACTTTGTGCTTGGGAGGCAGGTGATGGCAGAACTGAATTAAATCCCCGGCCCTGTCTGTGTCTTTTAATTGGAGAGCTGAGGCCTTTAATATTGAGAAATATTACTGAGATATGTTGATTAATCACTACCATTGCATTCTTTCTCTGTTGCTGAACACTTTTTCTTTTCCTGTCATTGTTGTATACCACTTGACCTTGCTTGTTGTTTTCATTTCATGGGCTTTTAGCTATACAAACACTGGTCATTTGATGACTTTGTTCTGTTCCTATGAGTAATTCATTAAATAAATTAGTCGCCGAATATGGAATTGTATAGAGTAGGTGCGTTACAATATTCAGAACTGAGAAATGGTCAAAGGAAACCAGAACTTGACTTTGTTTTTATTTGCATAACTCTTACATGGAATACTCTAATATATAACAGAACATAAACTACAGTACTGTACTGTATCAAAGAAGGTAACCTACACTAGTGTACTATACCATACAATCAGTGGAAAATAAAGTGCTTTATAAAAGAATGCATACTGTACAAAATAAAGACATTGAGGCACCACCAATGAAATGTACAGAACTGTACCAAAAAAAGAGATCATACATAAGTCTGAGCATTGGGTTGTAAGTCTTAACTATATGTCTCAGTCATAAATCTGAACGGTCTTTTAACAGGTAGCTTGTGAAATGAGTACTATATGTATTAGACATCTTATTATCAAATTAGGTGAAAATGATTTGTTTTTCTTAAAGAATACACTCCAGTAACCCTTAAAATACAATAAATCATCACCAACAAATCATCACATTAGCTGGGTTCGGGCAATATTGACCCCACCCATGTCAGAAAAAGCAGGGATACAAATTATTCAGGAAACAGGTTACCTTGTGATATAGCAGTGATACAGAAGGTGCTCATCATTAGTCATGATTGCAAAACAGATGCAATCCAGATATGATCTTTAGCAATCAATAAAACATCTAATTGTAATGTAATCCTTCACATGCCCTCTCCTGGCATCTTAGCAATTTCCATGCATTCTTCAAGATTACATTGATCACAAGTTTGATCTTTCTAGAAGCTGTGTCTTAAGATGAAATTTTGGCTCATTAATAAAGGAGCTTCTGAAGGTTATTTCTAGGAACCAATGAAACTAAAATATTACTAACAAGATATCACAGAACCATGACCCTGCATGACTGCACAATGCACTGGAGATGGCCAGGATCCTTGACAGCAGATGTGGCATTAACGGAGGCACTGCCCTGGGCTTCTCTGCAGGAAATACCATGGAGCATAGAAAGACACATAAAGAAAGTAGTAAAGGAGCTTACCAGCCAGGGTGTGAGAGAAAAATTAGACATGTAAACCCACCACACAGCCAGGAATAGCGGTGAGAGTTAATTTTTCAATTGTTTTCTGTGGTTCAGAAGTGTGTGTGTGTGTGTGTGTGTGTGTGTGTGTGTGTGTGTGTATCCCTTAAGAAAATGTGTGCCCCTGAATGATACAAAACATTCCTACATAGATTACAAAGGTTACCTCATTTCTATAGAGTTTGTTTACACATGAGAATTTATTTAACTCCAGATGAATCTGAGGAAATGTAAAATTTGGAAACAGCTCAATTGCCCATCAACTGGAGCCTGGATAAAGAAATTTTTAAAAAATTTTATAAAATGCAGTACCATTCAACCATAAAGAATGAGAAACTAGAGTCATTTATAGCTAAATGGATGCACATTCAGGACATACTCTTAAATGAAATAAATAGGACACGTGTAAATACCGAATAGTTTCTCTGGTATGAGAAACTGAAAGTGTAAATAAGAATCAAAATGCATAATAGATAATGTCAAATGGAGGAAAAGCTCTAAAGGGGAAGAGGGAGTGGGAGGAGTAGGGGAAAGGAAAGAAGGGAAAGGAAAAATATGAGAAAAGAAAAAATGCAAACAGTCTTTGTAAATAGGGAGGGGTGAAGGGAGAGCAGGGGAATGCGGAAAAATAAGAACCAAGATGCATCGTGTAAAGGTACAAATTCCCTATGATGAAGATCATCGTATTGTATACTTAAAATGTTCCAATAAACTTTTTAAAAAGAAAGAAGTGAGCTCAGTAGAAACAATGCATTGTTAAATATTTCTGGCCTTCATCACAGTTGTTCTGCCTGTGTCGTATCTGATCAACGGATCTCATAAAACTTCTTCAAATCACTCCCTCCTGCATCAGAACAGGGAAACTATGTATTTTTTGAGATTGCTTTTTTTGGCCTCAATATCCAAAATACATAAAGTAGCTTATTTGTCTGCAGCATTAGACATATAGAAATAATACGTAGTTTGAAGACATTTGTCTTTCATGAATGCTGTGCTTATTTGCACACCATGCTTAGTGAATGTGCCTAAAATATAGTAGGCTGCATGCATTCTTCAAGTAATGACTGAGTCTTCCTCCTGTGATTAATTAGGTCACTAAATGAATGAGGTGCTACATGAGCAATTGTATACAATATGCACTTTACAACATTCAGGATAAAGAAATGGTCACAGGAAACTCCAACTTGGTAACTCTGCTTTTATTTGTGTAACTCTTAGATGCAGTACTGAAATATATAACAGAACGTAAAACTACAGTACTATACAGTACAATCAGCAAAAGCTAGAGTTCTATATAAATAAGGTGCATTCTACAGAAAGAGACTTCGAGCCTCTAACAATATGTGTGCAACTGTACAACAAAGATGGGTCATAAGTCTGGGTGTTGGGTCATAAGTTTGAAACAGTGTGCCTTGGTTTTAAATCCAAACAGTCATTAAAACAGGTTGTTAAATGGCTATCTGTATCGGCTTCAGTGCTTCTGTCTAAGATGTTCTTGACTATTTTCTGAAGTCATTCATATGTCTCTTGAGCTGGTCTTTTTCACGAAATGTTCTTGTTTCTCCATCTATTTTGTCTTTTTTTTTTTTTTTTTTTTTTTTTTTTGGTACAGAGGATCGAATTCAAGGCCTTGCACTTGCAAGGCAGGCAGTGGAAACACTGAGCTAAATCCCCAGCCCTCTCTTTCTATTTTGAAAGAGAGCTTTGCTGGGCAAGTTAAACTAGAGTGTAAGTTACTCACTCTTACAGCTTCAAATATATCACTCCAAGCTCTTCAGGCCTTCAAGGTTTGTCTGTTGTAATTCTGATTGGTTTACCTTTATAGGTAATTTGTTTGTTTGGTTTTCTCTGCCTTAAACTTTTGTTTTTGTGGTTTTTGGGTATCTGGCAGTATAATAAAGGTATTGAGCTTCTTTTTTCATCATAGCTTTTGTGTTCTTTAAGCCTTACTTTTATTTTTAACTCTTTTTCTCATCTTTGGGGATTTTTCTACTATGATTTCTGTGAACATATTAATTCCATCTATGTTATCTTCTAGCTTTTCTCTAACTCCATTACCTTTAGATAATGGCTTCTTTGAGTACTTCTGCAAGATTTACCATTTGCTCTCCACTTCAGACTCCATGGTCCATCCTGAGGCTCTCCTGGCAATGGTGTGTGACTGGGGGGACACTCAAGTCCATCGTCCTCCCTGGGCTGGGTGCATAGCCTTGGCCCGTGGCTAGGCCATGGCTTTAGTTGATTGGCCCATCCCCACATTTCCCTTTCTGTTACCCCTTGGAAATTTTTATATTGCTGTGACAGGTAAGTATTTCATGTCAGTGATCTATAAGATGATGCGTCTTACTACTGAGCATAGTGGTGCACACGCAGAAGGCAGAAGCAGAAGATTTGCCACAGGTTTGAGGACAGCCTGGACTACATAGTGAGTTCAAGGCTAGCCTGTACTATGTAGCAAAAATCTGTCCCTAAAAACAAGAAGCCATAATGTCTTCCTTAATCTAATCTCATTGTTAGACATAGTCCAATGAATACTATAGTACTTTTCATTAGAATTTTAAATACTATTGACAAATTTTACTTTGTGTTTACTTACAGTTTTGTCTATGAAACCAGTTTCAAGTCTCACAATGCTGCTTAAATACAATCACAGGAAGAAGGAATCTATTTCCTAAATAATAATCTGAAAATAGATGTATTTTCTGTGTTCTGTCAGAGCAAGTCATTAGATATTCATCTGCCCCGGTTCTTTTTACCCCACATCTGATCTAGTAGGCTCTGTCCATCATGTCAGCTTTTCATGAGTAGATTTGAGATATTTTGTGTTGTGAGTCTCACTCTTCTTCCTGGAAATATATTTCCAATGATTTAGAAGACAGTGACCTTTGAGGATGTGGCTGTGAACTTCTCCATGGAGGAGTGGGCTTTGTTGGATCCATCCCAGAAGAAGCTCTACCGAGATGTGATGTGGGAAAACTTTAGGAATGTCACTGCTATAGGTAAGGAAGATATCATTTCTCATGTATGCGATCAGAGAGCATTGGTTATCTCAGTGCAGTTTATTGGAACATGGAAATATTCTCATGAATCTTTGGGCACGGTCACTATAGCATGAATCTGTCATCTACCTGGAAGCTAAAAATTTTTATGTATGTACTAACTCATCATTACATTTCTTTTTCTACACGTTAGGAAGAAACTGGAATGACCAGAGAATGGAAGATGAGTTCAGAAATTACAGAAAATCACTAAGGTAATTTGCACTCACAAGAATGTTCCTCAGAAGCATTAAACCAAGCAAACTACACAATGACACCATGCAAGAAAAAAAATACACAGGCATGGTGGCACACGCCTGTAATCCCAACACTTCAGTGACTGAGGCAGGAAGGTTGTCAGGAGCTCAAGGCTGGCTTGAACTATGTAGCGAGCTTGAGACCAACCTGAACTATACAGGGAGATCGTGCCTCAAAAATTAAATAAAACCAAACAAACAAAATAAGCCATGCTCACATTCCTTTAATCACACAAAATTTCTCCAAAGATGCATCCATATTTAGTATCTAGAATCTGACAATTGAATATTTGAAATATCTCAATATCTGAAATGTAAGGGTATATTGACATTATGCCACAAGTGACATTATCTAATGTATGATAGTACACGTTTCCATAGTCGAGATTGTAAAACTATCGTATGAAATTGTATTCAGACACTGATTACAGGCATGTATAACACCTTCGTGTTTAGCTGAGAGCCGAGTGCAGGACGTCTCGTCACACATACATACATTGTCAGAGGACTGCGTTCTTATCGAACAATTCTGTAAGGAATGCCATGCACATTTAAAGACGGTATCATATGGTAACCTTGAGGAACTACTCAAAATCAGAATGAATATTCCTGTTCTTATAATAGCTGTTTTCAAGCAGTCCTGAAAAGCATTTAGTCTATTTATGTTCCAAGATACATTATGAGAAGGCGCCGTCTCCTAACGTTGGTGAGGATGGTGTTGTAGTGTAACATCTATGGAAATGTATATAGATAGACGTTCCTCAAAAAAGTAAAAATAGGGCCGGGGATTTAGCTCAGCGGTTCATGAAATAGAGGGCTGGGGATCAGGGATTTAGCTTAGTGGTGCTGCCACAGCCTCGCAAGAGCAAAGTTTCAAGTTTGATCCCCGGTACAAAACGAAACGAAAGTAGAAATAGAGCTTCCATGTTATCCCAGCTGTCCTTATACTGCATTCCTCCAAAGTGAAAGTCCTCCTATTACACTGCTACATGCTTATCCACATTTGTAGTAGTAAATCTTACAAAAGTGGATCTCTGGAAAGAGCCTAGATTCCCATTCACAGATGACTAGAAAGGGGACATGGGACAGCCTGGGCAGGATGGAGCACACGGGGAAGCTGAGGCACATTCATGCCCAGTCTGAGCAACTTAATGAGTGATGAGACTCAGTCTCACGATAAAGGATAAGTAACTCCGAGAATGTAGCTCAGTGCTAAAACGCTGGGCTCAGTCTCCAGCATTGGAAAGAATGTGGTGTGTGTATAATGGAATGGTACTGAGCCGTTCAGGAGAATGAACTGATGTCATGGGCCAGAAAGTGGGTGGATCCGGAACCCACGTTACAGTAAATAAGAGAAATACAAAAACTTCAATATGACCCGTTGTACTTTGTATGAGTCATGCAGAATATGAATAAAGACGTAAAATAAAGGAGAGGTGGTAGCAAACAGAGAGGCAGACGTTTTGGAGAGGGTGAGGAAGCTCACTAAAAGGGGAGGGCATGAAACATAACCAGCATATGGTGTGCATATGTACCAACTGCTCCAGCTGAAAGTACCCAGTATGTATTGCAAACATATCGATTGCAAAGTCCCAAATAAATACTGCTTTGGTAAAACCTGCTTCCAAGCTATCATTCAGACTGTACCCTAAATTCATGATCAAAAATGCTTTGCGGGCATCAAATCATCTTTATAGGAATGGTCAGCCATTCCTATAAAGACACTTTTAAATATGACTGGTTGTTTTCTTATTTTTTCCTTTGACAGAAGTGCAGAGGTGGATAAATGCTATCAGTATAAATTATGGTATCAGCATAGAGAACTGGCTCCTGACACAAATGTGCAGATGGAACTGCTTGGTACAAAACCAGGTGAAAGCCTTGCATGCGGAAAGCCTCCCACTGGTCATCCATCACCAACCATGCCCATCACACGGAACACTGGACTCAAACCCTGTGAGCTGCATGGATTTGAACAGAAGCCGTCTCACTGTAACACGCATGAGAAAACCTCTGCTGACTTTCAGTCCTTTCAGAAACATGGAAAGGCGCATCCTGAAGAAAAAGCCTATGGATATAAGCAATGTGGAAAATCCTACTCTGATTGCACTGAGGGAAGTAATGCTGAGGAGAAATCCTTTGTATGTAAGCAAGACGTGAGAGCCTTCAGTACACACAACTTTGTTCAAATCCAGGAAAGAGATCACAGTAGGGTGAATACCTGTATGTGTGTGCAACATGGAAAAGGTTTGAATTCTCACCATGATATTCAGAAACATGAAAGAGCTCACACTGGATCAAAGTCCTGTCTTTGCAAACGCAGTTGGAAATCTTTCGATAATAACATTTCATTTGATAATCTTGGGAGAACTCACATTGGTGGAAAACCCTACCTATGTAAGCAGTGTGGGAAAGCTTTCAGCAAACACACACAATACAAAATGCACGAAAGGACTCACACTGGGGAAAAACCCTATGTCTGTAAGCAGTGTGGGAAAGCTTTCAGCACACAAAGTCATTGTCAAAGACATGAACGAACTCACACCGGGGAGAAACCCTACGAATGTCACCAATGTGGGAAAGCCTTCTTGAGACACAGTCATTATAAAACACATGAAAGAACTCACACTGGGGAGAAACCTTATGTGTGTAAGCAATGTGGAAAAGCTTTCAGCTGGCGCAGTGAATGTAAAATACACGAAAGGATTCACACTGGGGAGAAACCGTATGTATGTAACCAATGTGGGAAAGCTTTTAGCAGGCATAGTTCTTGTCAAATCCATGAAAGGACTCACACTGGGGAGAAACCCTATGCATGTAAGCAATGTGGGAAAGCTTTCAGCCACCACAGTGGATGTAAAACACATGAAAGGATCCACACTGGGGAGAAACCTTACGTATGTATGCAATGTGGGAAAGCTTTCAGAACACACAGTCATTTTAAAACACATGAAAGGACTCACACTGGAGAGAAACCCCATGTATGTGGCCAATGTGGGAAAGCTTTCAGCAGGCACAGTGAATATAAAATACATGAAAGGGCTCACACTGGAGAGAAGCCGTACGCATGTCAGCAGTGTGGGAAAGCTTTCATGACACAGAGTCTTTGTAAAATACATGAAAGGACTCACACTGGGGAGAAACCCTATGTATGTAACCAATGTGGGAAAGCTTTCAGCAGACAAAGTTCTTGTCAAATACACGAAAGGACTCACACTGGGGAAAAACCCTATATATGTAAGCACTGTGGGAAAGCTTTTACCACACAGAGTTATTGTCAAATACATGAAAGGATCCATACTGGGGAGAAGCCCTATGTATGTAACCAATGTGGGAAAGCTTTCAGGACACACAGTGAATGTAAAATCCATGAAAGGATCCACACAGGGGAAAAACCTTATGTCTGTAAGCAGTGTGGGAAATTTTTCAGCAGGTGCAGTGAATGTAAAATACATGAAAGGACTCACACTGGGGAGAAACGTTATGTATGTCAGCAGTGTGGGAAAGCTTTCACCACACAACGTTTTTGCCAGCTGCATAATAGGATCCACACTGGGGAGAAGCCCTATGTCTGTAAGCAGTGTGGGAAAGCGTTCATGACACAGAATCATTGTAAAACACATGAAAAGACTCACACTGGGGAGAAACCCTACATATGTCAGCAGTGTGGGAAAGCTTTTACCACACATAATTCTTGTCAAATACATGAAAGGATCCACACTGGGGAGAAGCCCTATATGTGTAATCAATGTGGGAAAGCTTTTAGTAAGCCCAGTCAGTATAAAATACATGAAAGGATTCACAATGGGGAGAAACCCTATGTATGTAAACAATGTGGGAAGGCTTTTAACACACATGTTAATTGTAAAACGCATGAAAGGATCCACACTGGGGAAAAACCCTATGTATGTAAGGAATGTGGGAAAGCTTTCAGCACACACATTTACTGTAAAATACATGGAAGAATTCATACTGGGGAGAAACCCTATGTATGTAAGCAATGTGGGAAAGCCTTCAGCACACTTGGCAATTGTCAAATACATGAACAAACTCACACTGGGGTGAAACCCTATGTGTGTAAAGAGTGCGGAAAGGCTTTTAGCACACACAGTTTATGTAACAGACATGAAAAGATTCACACAGGGGAAAAACCCTATGTATGTAATCAATGTGGAAAAGGATTTAGCAGGCGCAGTGACTGTGAAATACATGAAAGGATCCACACAGGGGAGAAACCTTATGTATGTAACCAATGCGGGAAAGCTTTCAGCAGGCGCAGTGAGTGTAAAATACATGAAAGGATCCACACTGGGGAGAAACCCTATGTATGTCAGCACTGTGGGAAAGCTTTCAGCACACACAAGAATTGTCAAAGGCATGAAAGGAATCACACGGTTTAGAATCCTAATGGATGTAAGCAATATGGAAAAGCCTTTCAGTTACTCTAGGAATCATCATAACATTAAAAAGTTAAGAGCCAATGAACTCTGAGTACATAAAGTGACCCGCACTGACATGAAAGGACAGCGCAGAGAAGCCTTTGTGTGCATAATAGAAAATCTTGCCGTGCACAGGTGTGATTACACACCTCCATTCAAAGAACAGAATCTGAATGTATTCGAGCAATGTGGGAAATGTTTTATTTTTCTCAGTGCGTTCAAGTTCGTGAAAGAATTCACAAGAGAGGGGAGCAGTATGGACGAAACAAATATGGGAAACCATTCCACTGTTTGACTTACCTTGGAAATAATGAAAGGATTGCCACTGAAGAGAAAGCCTACGTGTGAAAGCTTGTTATGATCCTCATGACGTCTGAAAACATGCTAAAAATCAAAATGAGATTTGGTATCACTACCAAAAGTGAGAAAGCTATAAATCAGAGACAGGAGTGTGTTAGCAATGCGTTGCAGTTCCAGAGTGCGTGCAGAGACAGTCTTCTCCAATATAGCTATGGTTAATGCACTGATTGGGTTGGAAAGTTCATTATAATGTTCAATTCAGAATAACATCATCTTAGCTGGGCGTGGTGGCGCACACCTGTAATCCCAGCACTTAGGAGGCTGAGGCAGGAGGATCGCTGTGAGTTTGAGACCAGCCTGGGCTACATAGTGAGTTCCAGGTGAGTCTCAACTACATAGTAAGACCCTGTCTCAAAAAAACCAAACAAATAAAAAACAGAATAACATCACCTTGCATTCAAGTCTTCAGTACATGGCCTCCAAGGGACATTTCACAAGCAACCTGTTGCCTTAGTTGTATGCATAAAATGAAGGTCATTCATACAATGAAATTTTATTGAGTCTTAAAGGAAATCCTTCTTTTGTGACAGTGTGGATTAACCAAAGGTTATTATGTAAAATATGCCACACATATACAAAGGTTAAGCATGTTGATTTTGAGCATCTAAAATTGACAACTTTAAAGAAGCAGTTTGATTATGGTTGTCACATATGTGGGTGGCAAGTTGAGAGATGTTAATGAGCAAGCACAGTGTTTGTCTTGTAGAGTACAAAATGGTGGGTCAAAGGTGTAGCTCAGTGGTTCTGCCGCCTGCTTTGCAAGCACAAGGTCCCTGGTTCGATCCCCAGTACCCAAAAACAACAAAAATATGGCACCTATCCCTTAGTGACTAATTAGCATCATAATTTGCTAAAAGTTGCTGTTAAGTGTTTTCTACATATATGCAAACGGTAGTTGTATTTGTATTAGGTGGTACAAACGCTACCAAGTAAGAATGTAGTAGTTTCCCAATATAAACAGTAAATATTACACTATACACTCTATATGATTTTGTTATTTTAAAGAAACATTCGAATTAAACTTAGCATAAATAACAGGACTGTGGTTTCGTAATATGTCCACAGAATCTCTTTCTTTAATTCTCATAAATGTAATTTAGTTCGTACTATATTTATTTCTGAAAGTATTCAGTATTGGTCCAAAGGCTGTGGGATATTGTTAGAAGTATTTTGTACTTTAGTGAAACTTATATTTGGCTTGTTAGAAATGTAAAGTAATTTTTGAGGCTATAACTTTGAAACGATGTCACAAATCCGTTTCATCTCATTTTGATAGAAAGTGGTTATATATGTGCTCAAAACTTTCTACATGTTAGAAGCACTCAGGCTTGTTTGATTTAATTCACTTTAACATTATGCTTTCAAGATGTGTCCATTGTCGTGCAAATGACTTGAGTTTATCCCTCTTTATGATCAGTGTTTTGTGATGTATAAATATATTTTTGTCATTTATCTGTTACTGGACATGTAGGAGAACAGGGAGAAATAGCTCTCTGGCAAATGGGAGGGAGTGGGAAGCCAAGGATAAGAAGAAGGGGAGGCAGAAAGATGTGATGTCAGGTACCAAAGAGAGTGACTGCATCTTTGCACGTCACAAATGTGAGCTGGATGGAGGGGGAGGGGGAGGT